TATTTCTCAAAGTCTGTCCTGCTTAAGCTCAATGTATGTCTCAGTCCGGGGGTTACGACTGCTGCAGAAGGATCGAACTAGAGTGAAACGAATTAAACCGAGCAATGAATACAAAACTGTATGAATTAGTGTAACTTACAGTTAAAGTGTATCAGCAGAATTCAGCTAAAGGGCCACAGTAACTTTCCTGGGCGAGCCTGGACTCCCAAGGCCCTTAACCCTTACGCTGACTCACTCAACAGCCTAATATCTAAATGTAGCTTAAATACAAGACTTTTATCATGTCTTTTTCAACACTTAACACCTTTTCGTTTTCATATTTCAAAAGGTTATTACATTTTCATATTTCAGATTCGAGGTATATTTCTTCAGCTCCAAAAAGGCTGAATATATTATTTAAATATCTAGGCTACAGGTCCATATGTCACCAAACCTTGACCCTAAGACGCTGGCAGTCGCATTATTTATCAGAAAACATCATAACAGAAATACTGAAAAAGTCCTTTACTTTTGACACTTTAACTTCACTTTAAGGAAATGTACTTAAGTGTGCCTATGTACCTATGGCACACTTATTACTATTTGGCAGATTTATTATTGTTATTATTATTATTATTATTATTATTATTATTACGCCTAAAATTTTGATCACGCCCCACAGCTTTGAGACAACACCCAAATTTGTCATACCGTTTCATGCGGCTCAACAGGGAATGGTGTGCTATGGGAAAGGGCCTGAAAAAAGGTCCCAACCCAGGCCACTTTGAAGGTCCACCGCTCAGCCATACTTTGTCATAGAAACATCATTTAAACTTCTACAGGTCACAAGACTTTGGACTTTTATTGACCAAATCCATGTTGTGAGTGTGGAGAATAATTTGAAAAAAAGGTCTTTCTCTTCCTTTACCACCCAAACCATTTGCCCTACATGTATAATTTATACATCAAAACGTAGCTATCGTTGTCTACTTTCATCCAGTGTCTTCCTCACTGAGATCATATTTACGGTTTTCTCACAAATGCCATCAAAGCGCAGCCTCCTCCCTCTCTGTCCCCATAGACGGCCATTCTAAACCTGCTCTCAATTTTCGGTTCAAATTTAACATCAGAGCGTGTCTTTACACTGTCACCACGTCAGTATAATACACTCTACAGGCATGGAAATTTAATATGTTGTAGTCTGGAAGTTCCTACCACTCACAGTGAAAGAATCTTTGTGACCGGACCTACAGTTTTCTCTTGGGAACAATTTGTTTCAGAGTTTAATTCCTGTTTGCCGTTCTCTGTGTTTGACCCCAAATGCAGTGTGTGTGTGTGTGTGTGTGTGTGTGTGTGTCCCAGCCCCTCCTGCCATTCACACGAGTTACTATAGCAACCAGCCTTAACAGCTATGAACTGATGACTGTTTAAAAGTCAACAGTTTTCTCCTCCAACCACATACATCCTGTATTCTGACAACTACCTTTGTGAATATGAGCTCGAAACATACTCTGACCAGTAAAATTAAGTGCAAAACCGTCCTACCATTGTGAATGTAACCTACAAGCATACTTTAACAGCTACAATTAAGTGGCTAATCGGCCTACCTTTATGAATATGAGCTAGAAGCACACTTTAACAGCAAAAATTAAGTGACAAATCACCCTACATTTGTTAATAAGCGCTAGAAACACACTCTGACGGGTACAATTAAGTGCCAAGCCATGCTACTTTTTGTGAATGTGACCCACAAGCATACTTTAACCGGTAAAAATGAAGTGGCAAACCGTCCTGGCTTTATGAATATGAGCTACAAGCATACTCTGATGGCCAAAAGTGGCAAGCCGTCATACCTACTTAAATTCATGCTGGAATTACTCTGTGACAGCAGAAATGTGCATAAACGACTTACGGTAGGACGTTTTGCCAAAGTAGAATGGTTTATCAGAACACCGGCATAAGCACAATTAAAATTTCTTCAGAAATGTTCGCTTTCTAGTTTCACATTGTTGTTGCTACTTTTATAAGGTGAGCACAATCGTTCTTCCACAGCCTCTTTAGTGTTTGCTCTCTAGGCACAAATGTAGTTATGCACTCACTTGCCGTCCGACTTGTACCAGATGAGAGTGGTCATCAGGCTCCCCAGACAGACGAGAGTGATCATGAGAGACAAGAAAGACTTCGAGAGCTGTCCCCTCATACCTCTCCCCTCCTGTTGGTCTTTCCCTTTAGAGGCCCACCTTTGTCTCTCTCTTCCTCCTTGTCCTGCTTTTACCTTGCACAACACGCGCTTGTTTTATCTACCCTGTCCCGTTGCCTATGCTCTCATATTTCCAAACTGCACTGCCACGAAGTACTTCACAAGCACACACGCCGGCTCAGTGAAGGCTCTTAATCTTTTTCCTCATGCCTGTCTGCTGTTTTACGCACTCATCACTCCCGCCTCCCTCGCTCACTCTCTTCCTGTCTCATTTGCCTCTGTGGTTCAAATCCCTCCTCGATAAATTAAGCACCAGAGATTCAGTCATTTCTGTCTGTCTAGCGTGATTTATTTTCCACCAGACTGGTTGAGACAAGTTTGAGCCCCAGTGCGCACTTCTGTTACTCTTGTTTCCTCTCGTTACACTTTGCTGGCAGTCAGCCGAGATGAAACCGATAAAACGTTCCTCCACATCCCTCTTAAATCCTCGCCACTTCTGCTTTGCTCGTCCGTCTTCTTTATGTTGTCGCGCACCTTTTTTGTCACTTGCTCACACGAGGAAAGTCCGCCATTTCTTCTCAACTACAGCTCTTTAGCCCCATTCTCTCGGGCTTCTGTGTGTACTTTCCCCTCCCTCTGCCCACATTGGCTAAACCCCTCTCCCCTCTGCACTAAAAGCACGTAGTAACATGAGTGCCCTGTACTGAATTAGCTCACAGTTGTCTCTTGACTCGACTGGTTCGTGTGTGGGTGAGTGTGTGTGTGTGATAAGAAACACGTTCAAAATCAATGAGAGACAATGGAGGCAGGAGCCTATGATCGCCCCGCCAATCAGAGGGGCTCTTAAAACCTACCAAACTCTTATTAACGCACACAAAAGCTTCTTTGATTCGCGTGTGAAACTTTGCATGCTTACAGCTGGTCTTTCTCTATGTAACTAACAGCTGGAAAAAATGAGAGAAAGAGGAAGCCATAATTCCTAACTTGTTCTATGTTGCCAATTGTGTGGTGGAAGTGGAATTAAATTCTTGGAGTAAATCATAATGAGGATTATGTTAAACTAGTTGCATTTATGGGAATTTTTTTGTTTTCACAATGAATAACCATAAACAGATGGTTACTCCCACCCTAATTCCAGTTGTCAGTGGTAAATTTCTTTTTTTCTCCCTCTCTCTTTGCAATAAAGGCATAATTCCTCCAACTTCAACTTCACTTTAAGTTTTTTGAGTTCTTTGGAGTTTTGCATCCATGTTTATTATAAGGCGTTTTCTGTTTGGTTTCAGCTGCAGCTTATTGGAGATGATGTCATTTCCACTCAAACACCCCATTAGCTATTTAAGCACATTAAACATTCATAAAGTTTTAACAGAGGAGTTTTCCTCAGCGTTATGCAGTCCTGTGTGTGTAAGAAGCCTCAAGTCTCTCTAATGATGGAGGATTGTGTTGTTAACTTTTTATTGTACACCTGTCACGAGTAGTAATGAACAGGGTTGTAGCTGTGAATGTCTGTATGTTCCCAAAGCTGCTCGGTTGGATTAAAATCTGATTTTGGAGGCCATTTGAGTACAGCGAACTCATTGTCATGTTCGAGAAACCATTTGTGAAATGGCATGTTATCCTACTGAACATATCAGCAGATAATGTACACTGGAACATGGTTAGCACAAACAGGGTGGAGATTTGAGACTTTGCTCAGTTGGAACTAAAGGAGCCAAAGTGTGCCAAGAAAATATCCCTCACATTGATACACCCCGACAGCAGCGGTCTGAACTGTTATACCGTTGATACAAGACAGGATGAATCCATGTTTTCATGTTGTTTACACAAATTCTGACTCTACCATCTTAATGTCACAGTAGAGATCAAGATTTTTCCAATCTTCTTGTCCAATTTTGCTGTTCCTATATGAATAGTAGCTGCAGTTTTACATTCTTTGGCCGTGATTATGCTCAGCTGCAGACACTGACGCAAACAGCTGGAGGCTCCAAGTCTGAGTAGTCAATGGCGATGTCAGCATCACCCTCAATTTTATTTCTATAGCACATGTCATTGTATGCAGACATAAAGATAAAAGCATGAAAATCAGGTCTACAATGGCTTAAGGCAATAAATTAACAACAAAATAAAACTTTACACAGATAAAATACAATTTAGTGTTAACATACACGCACAGATACACACAATTTTTGACAGTAGCCCAAACGTGTGAGAATAAAGTGTTTGAATATGTTTTTTTTTTTAATGTAGATAAAGTTCTAAGTCAGTGGGCAGATTGTTTTTAAGAAACAGTAACTGAAAGCACCCTCAGCACCATCAAATCTAATTCTGAGATGAGTTTTGCACCTGATGACCAGAGGGTCCAACTGCGTTATAAACACTAAACAGTCAGAGATGTACAAACCACTGAGTTCTTTATGAACTAATACAGCTATTCCTGTTGTATTTCTTTGAATTCCACTGTCTGAGGCGAATGCATAGTTCGTGCATGGTTCATGGTGCTGTTTTGTTTGCTTTAAAGAACAGTAACTAATAAAATAAGTGCATCATCTTATCTTTTTAATGATTGTTTGAATTTTTGTTTTTATTTACACTACAGGGCTTAATAAAACGAAATAACTCTTCAAGTCATTCAGCTTTATGAGCTTCATGATTTGTTTGATTTCTTTATTCTAAGAATGAGTTTGATTTCTTGTGACTAAAATGTTTCCCAGTCCTGTTTTCACAGTTATTGTAGTAAGAAGACCGCAGCACTCCAGTTTTGTTTCCTGTCAGGTTTTATGGCATTTGAGATGCCTGATAAATAGGTTTCTGTTTAACTTTTAGTTCAGAATTGCTGTTTTTCAACTCCTACTTAGAGTTTATATGTGTTTACCTTCTTTAGTTTGTCTTGTCTTCCTATGCTTATACTTAGGGGCAGCTGGGGTTCAGGGGGTGGAGCAGGTCCTCTACCATTTGAAAGGCTGATGGATCACTCCCTAACCCCTTTATCATGACAAAGTGTCCTTGAGTAAACCCTGATTGGCTTTCATCTATGCATCTATGTGAGTGTGTGTAAAAATGATAAGGCATGTGTCACTGGGTGAATGAGACTTGATTTTTATTTAGTTTAGTTCTTCTTTTTGTTTTGTCGTGCATTTGGTTCTTCCTGCACACACTCCAAACCCATGATAGGGAAGTAAAAGCAACATTTAACCCAATTTGTACATCAAATACACAGTGATTTCTTCACTGATGGACAGATCATGTGACTCCAGACTCCAGTAAGCAGCTGTAATGTGTTTGTCACAGTATGTAAAACTTCCAAGTGTCAAGTGTTTTGCAGATAGCTGAAGTCCTGGGAAGATAATGTGCATTTACACTTGGCATACATCATGAGGCACTAGCAGAAACATAGTTAAAATGTTGTTGTTGTTGTTTTCCATTTGCATGGAATAACCACAATAAGGACTCGGCCACGACTAGAAAAGGGGAAACCAGTGTCACTAGTGTATCATAGGGCAGTCAGACAAACACGTTGCTTCAGTGGCTGTCTGATTATTCAATAACCCAGACGTCTGGTTTTCCATCATTACAGGCTGCCCTTCTGCCTCCCACAGCAGTCATTAGCTTGTTACAGACAATGCCAATTCCATCCAAAGACTCCATTAGCTATTTAACCACATTAAAGCCAAAGAAGTAACTTTTCATAATGACATTCATAACCTTGTAAAAGTTCCTCACCATCGTGTAACCCTGTGCCCGTGTGAAGCCCTCAGGCTCTCTAATGACATAAGATCGTGTTATTAACTTTTAATTATACAAAAAAAAAAAGTTCTGTACAAATTTTTCACATGTCTAAATTGGCTTACACGGGATCAGCTGTGAAGGTCTGTATGTTCTTAAAAAATTGGTAAACACAGTTAAAATGTGCATGTGAGAGGACAAAAGCAAATCTATTACAGTTTATTGCAGCAGGGAGGGTGACAGTGGACGAGCGATGGGTTGGAGGAAGCAAAGGGTGGAAGGTGTGCAAAGTGCTTCCTCCATAAAGTCATGCTATATGCAAATGGAACAAGACAGAGAGACGAATATCTGAATGAAATTCAGATTCTTTGTTGTGCAACAAGTCACCTTTTAATAACAAATAACTTGCTGGTTATCTGATTCCTCTGTAAAACTGTGTCATTAATGGTGTAATAAAAGACCAAATGTAAGCCTGTTCCTCCATGTCTATACAAGGTGGGACTTTTTTTTTTTTTTCAAAGATTTATTTATTGCTTTTCCAACAACATTTTAACCAATAGGAAGAGAGAGTTCAAATAAAATAGAGGAGGAAATTAATGGTAAATTGGTAAATGGCCTGCATTTGTATAGCGCTTTACTCAGTCCCTAAGGACCCCAAAGCGCTTTACACTACATTCAGTCATTCACCCATTCACACACACATTCACACACACATTCACACACTGGCAATGGCAAGCTACTGTTCATATACATCGTATATGAACAGTGCTAGGGAAACACATAGATATAGTTATACATGTAGATCATTCAGATATTATTACAGAAAAAAAAAATATATCCATCCATCCATTCGCTTCTGCTTATCCTTTTCAGGGTCGCAGGGGGCGCTGGAGCCTATCCCAGCTGTCACAGGGCGAGAGGTGGGGTACACCCTGGACAGGTCGCCAGTCTGTCTCAGGGCCAACACACAGGGACAGACAACCATTCGCACTCACATTCACTCACACATTCACACCTAGTGGCAATTTGGATAATCCAATTAACCTATCCCCACAAGCTGCATGTCTTTGGACAGTGGGAGGAAGCCGGAGTACCCGGAGGGAACCCACGCAAACACGGGGAGAACATGCAAACTCCACACAGAAAGACCCCGGCCTGATGGTGGAATTGAACTCAGGACCTTCTTGCTGTGCAGCAACAGTGCTAACCACCGTGCCACCGTGCTGCCAAAATATATAGATAGATAGATAAATAAAACAAAGCAAAACAAAACACCCCCCAAAAAAAAACAAACAAAAAAGTAAAAAAGAAAAAAAAACAAGGGTTAACAGATAGTGCTCCAGAAAAAAACAGGTATAACACAGTGAGACATTAGGTTTAAGTGCATTATTCCAGGGCTTCGGGCTGAAGTTTAGTCCAAGGGTGTCAAGGTGGGACTTTTGCTGAAAGTACACTGAGCTTCCTTTCAGGCTTTTAATGTCAAGAGGCCGCATGCTGCAAACCTCACCAATCTGCATGTTTCCTGTCAGCTTGCATGTTGTTCTTTCAGTACATTCTTTCTTTGCAGTGAATTCTCCTTCACAATGCTTTAGTAGACAGCAGAATTCATGGCTCCATTTAACACAGCAAGTCTGTCAGGTCCCAAGGCATATAAACAGCCCCAGACCATCACACCTCCACCACCATATTTTACTGTTGCTATGATGTTCCTTTTCTGAAATGCTGTGTTACTTTTACACCAGATGTAACAAGCCTCAAACTTTCCAAACAGTTCAGCTATTTTCTCATCAGTTCACAAAATATTTTCCCAAAAGTTTCGAGTTTCAAATGTGAGATGAGCCTTTGTTCTTTTTGGTCAGCAGTGGTTTTCTCCTTGAAATCTCCCGTGGATGCCATTTTTGCTCACTCTGTTTCTTATTGTTGAATC